AAGCCTTAGATACTAATATGACTACAAAATGAAACAAGAATTTTGAATCTGGCTATATCCAAAGTTCAGATTTCGATTCCTGAAATGTGTTAAAATATGTGCATATTTAATGAGATAATGGATAATTTGCATATTTAAACATGCTATTTCAGAAAACTTGTAATACAAAAGACAATTGCCTTATTGTAAGTAATTAACTGGAGAAATTTCTAGCTGATACCTTTAAGTTAAACAATTTACCCTATTCACCTGGGGTGTCTCGCCTTAAGTGAGAAGTAAACAAGCTGTGCTATGAAAGTTAGCTTTTGCTAACTTTAGATCCATAACAATGCAAGCTAAGTAGCCTAACAGCAGGGACAGTTAGCTACATAGCTAGCAGTGAGTGAGCGTTCAGACACCGGCACACACACTCAAACGGACTTGTGTGCCTGACTCTACCAACAGGCTTTCATGATTCTGTTTAGAAATGCAAGTATAAGTCATGATAGCTTATTTTATTAACACGCTAATTTGATATGAAAATCAATGGAGGCTGAGTTTACTACTTCTCTTTGTAGGAAAACCGCCCCTGAGCTGAGTTGTATTTGTTAACTTCACATTTTTCATTTCCTAAAACATTTATTTTCCTCTCATATTAACAGTGTGGATCATTGAGACAGCGTGGTGTCCAGAGGTCTTATTCCGTTTTCCCACTTCCTCTGAGGGGACGCATCAGATCCACGGACAGTGGCGTTTTCTCCTGGAGGCCAAGGGAAGCCAGGCTTCCCCTGTGTTTTCGGAGTGTAGTTATAATTTTAATAAATAAATAAAAACACTTCATTTAGTTTCGGAAATTATTTGTTGTGTGTTGCTGCCGGCCCGTCTCTCCCCCATTCTCATTGAGTATTTTACAAAGAGTGAAACAGCGCCCCTCTAGATGTTATGGTGAAACAGTAGATTGCACTCTCTGCTGCGAGAGGAGGCTAGCCGAAATTGGCTTCCCTTGGTGAAAAAAAATGGAGAGATTGACCAATCAGATGAGGCTCACGTGATGCCCCTGCCAACCTGTGATTAGTCAGGGCCATGCCAAGGGAAGCCAGAGGCGGCTAGCTTCCCTTGCCTCACAATCCAATCAAATCGCATCAACTTAGTGGTGCAGTGACGCATCCTAAAACCCGGAAGTAAGCTGCGCTCGGGTTCCCTCGACAGAAAGCAATGGGATTTCTCCATAGGATTTTGGAAAATAGCTCGAAATAAGGTCAGTGGAAAATGAACCTGTTAGATAAATGCACGTTGTGTTCAGTCGGATAATATTCACATGTCTACCCTACTTTTATAATTTTCTAATCATAAATCAAATCGATAGAAGATAGATAGCGTCACTGCACCACTCTCACCGCCGTTAGAAAGTAGCAAGCAACTGAAGAAAGTGCAATTATGGAGGGTGAAGATTTGGAGTATTTACTCAAAAAATAATTCTACTAAACTTCCGCTACAGCAGCAAAAACAAATACAATCTGATGACAGGCCGATGCCCAAACTGGTGCTGTGTACAGAGAGGAAAAAAGGAGCGAATCGGACGTAAAACGTTAAAGGTCTCCTGATTTAGTTTGTGAATGAATGCTTATTAGAGTTTGGGCTGGAGAGTGCGTGCGGACCTGTCGGTTAGATAACAGGCGGTGTGTAAATCCTGCATCTGTATGATACAAATGTGTGTAAAATGATACCGGGTGCTATAATCACTCATCTGGTTACGTTATTATATTGACCACCACACCCCCCCGACCCAAAAGAAAGGACATATTATTGGCTTCCCCTAATTGTTTTCCCTCGCCACGCTACTGTCCACGGAGGGGGGGCATGAAGAAAGACCTGCACCAGCTCCATCCACGCTGGGCGTTGCTGTTATCACTTGCTCAGTGGCGACTGGTCATTAGGCACAGCCCCACCTAGTGTCAGCAGAAAGTATTACAAATAATGATTACAAAAAAATGTAAAAAATAAATAAAAAAATAAATAAAATATATTTTAAGATCATGTTTAATCATCTGATTCGTCTGTACATTGCTGTTTTAGTCTGTGTTCTTCTAATTAGTGTCTACAGTGTGTGCCTATTGAGCTGTTTAGAGCCATGTGGGACAAAACCCGATCATGCCCCTCCCTCTCACTGTCTAAGTCAATAGTGACTGTAAAAACTACACTGCGCATGCTCAGAATATTTTCCTATTTAATGTGTGTGGCAAAAAAACAATGACCATAGGGGCATTGAGCTGCCATCCCCACCATACGTCATCTCACATAATTCAGAGCTGATTGGCTGTAAGTACGTGTGCCGCGAAAAGTGTGGTGTGTGAAGAGGAGACGAGAGAGCTGCAGTGATGCTTCCTAAAACCCGGAAGTAAGCTGCGCATGGCTTCCCTCGACAAAAAAGCAATGAGATTTCTCCATAGGATTTTAGAAAATAGCTCCAAATAAGAAATGTGGGAAACAAACCTGTTAGATAAATGCACGTTTTGTCTAACCTACTTTTATAATTTTCTAATCATAAATCTATCGATTAGATTTATGATAGACTTTTGAAACTACAAGAAGATAAGGAGGACTTTTACAAAAAAGTAATAGAGATTTTTGTCCAGATGGATAGGCAAATGGACTTCATCTTCAAGTCAAGGTAAGACCACCATTTTATTGAAAATGGGATCTTACTAAGAGAGAACAATTCAATATGTAAATGATAAAATGACATTTTTTGGGTATCCTTTTGTTGAACTGTCTGTTTAAAATTAATCGAAGCATCAGACAAAAAAAGCTTTTGAAAATAATATTATATTTTGATTTAGGTCAAAATATAATATTTGTAAACCTGAAGAGTCAGTGCTCGTGCCTCACCAGCCATGAACCTCACTGCAGAAGCTTATAGACATCTAAGTTTGTTGTGCCCCACCACTTTTGTACATATAAAAACGCCACTGCACTTGCTCAGTGTAATTTCATTTGACCAAATGTCTTTACTAGGGCCGGGACCCGATTAAAAAAAATAATCTAATTAATTAGAGGCTTTGTAATTAATTAATCGAAATTAATCACATTTTTAATCACATATAAATATTTGACCTAAGAACAGTGAGAAGCAATTTTTTTCACATGGATTTTAGTACACCATTAGGCGCATTCACACCGCAGTACTTTTCCCACAAAGGTTCATGAGAACTTAGTTCATGAGAACTCTTTGAACCTGGGGGTGGATTAGGCAAATGAAGCAGCTGACGTCACTTATTCTTCTTCTGCTTTGGGTTTACTGGCAGGCCGCAAACCACTTCACGGCGTATACTGCCGCCCAAAGTCCCCGGCCGGAAGTCCCCGGAGTTGGGGACTGGCTTCAGTAGAAGCTGCTGGGAGTCCCAGCAGCTTCTACTGAAGCCTTCCGAGTAAATCGCCAGAACGCCGACACCTCCTCATCTCCACCGCTCCCATGTTTTATTTTGTGTTGCCATAAGTTAGTCTCTCTGCGTTTCTGCGCTGGGCTAATGCCAATGCTAATAATACTAATGCGAGGATAATAAAATGGCGGCTTCACAAAACTTTTTGGGAGTTTTACGGGGCGTGGTTTGCAATCCGCCCAGCCAATCAGAAATATAGCTCTTTTCTCACAAGAGAGCCGCACGAAAGTCCCTGCTCTCTAGCAGCTCTCTGCTCTCTAGCAGGGACTTTCGTGGGGGTAAAAAGGTTCTCATGAACTAATTTTAGTACCGGCTCTTTTTGGTGTGAACGCGATAAAAGAGGCTAACGTCCACGCTAGCTTCCACGCTAGCTGCTATATGTTTTGCATTGAGGTGATACTTGAGGCTTGATGTGCTGCGGTGATATGCGAATTCCTTTTTGCATAATTTGCACACAACCGTGCTCTTATCGACGCTTCCATCCGTCCGTTTTTAAAACAACATTTCCCACTGTTGTTCACTGTGGTTTGTTGTTGTCTGAAGTCATGAACGTTAGTTGGTGCTCCAGTATAATCGGTACGCCTGAAACTCATCCAGTGAGAAACGTTCCGCGGTGCAAAAATAAGTGCGATTAAAATGCGTTAATTTTTTTAACGCGTTAATTTTTGTGTAATTAATTAATCTTAATTAACGCGTTAAAGTCCCGGCCCTAGTCTTTACATATACATTTAATAGATTTTATTATTTTTACAGCATGTGTGTTCAGGTGTTCAGGTATTACAATATTTAAAGTTGGAACAAGGTATAAACTACACAACACAAGTATAATGCACAGCAATCCATAAGATAAGTCCGATATTTTCATGAAAACTCCCCAGGAGACACCAACACAAACGTGGCCGAGTGGACTCCGGAGTTTGCTGCATGAGTTGCACTGTATGATCTGTGGTGGAGTGGGCTGTCACTCAAAAACTGAGTAGCCAATGGGGACGCACCCCTGAAAGTCCCGCCCACCTGGGACGTTTGTGTCAGAATCGAAAACAAAAATTGAAGGAGCGCAAACGAGAAGAGCTGCAGCTAGAGCAAAAGTCTGATCATTGAGAAAGAAGCAAAGAGAACCGCAAACAAAAAGATATTCTAAAACAAAGAAAACATACTTATAGTTTACATGATTACACAAATTATTTGTTTGCAACTTATAGTTTTATTTTTTAAATTACATTTATTCAGCTTGATTTTTCTCTCAAACTCTTAGTTTTGCTTGATTCTGAGAGAGTGTTGCTTTATCTTTATGACACAAAACTAATCCCATAAAATCTGCCTGTTTTACACACTTTGACCAACAGGGGGGGGGGGGTTGTGTTCAAATCATAGACTGTATATATAAAGGTTCAAATGAAGCCCATGATGAAGCCTTATGAGATGAACCCTTTTGCGAACAAATTGGCTGGAAAGCTTCATAAAGCTTCATCTCGCCATCACTAGCTGGCAGTATGGTAATCCCATTGAGTCAGTATAATGGCTTTGTCGCCGCCCTGTGGACAGCAAAGGTATTGACCGTGTTTAACGAGGTAATGTTTTTCTCGCAGTAGTATGAGGATAACAAGCCAGCGGATCTGAGTTGCTGTTACAAGCAGTGTCAACCCACGCTAATAAACTGAAAACATTGGCAGTAATCTCTCAGAAGACTTCTGCTTCAGCAGCGACGAAGGAGAAACGCTTTTCTTTCGGCGTTGTTTGTTTATTTTCACCGGAGTCGTCGGCTTGGAGTTTGTCTGAAATCTCTTCGCTGTCCGTGGATTAACAGAAGAAGACCCGACTCCTAAAAAGCGCTGTGATATCAGTTTAAGAGTGAAATGTTGGATTATTTTCCTGCATCACAAGTGAATAGTAGTGTTGTGGAGGTTTCACAATTGTTCTGGTAACATAAAGTCGATATTGAGTTTACGCCCGGACCAGTCCAGCGGACACTTCTTGAAATATAATTTACCGAACAAACCTTTGCCCATCTGCTCGGGAGCTTTGCTAACGTTAGTAGCGATATTTAGCTATCGAGGCTAACAACTTTCTCTTACACAAGCCTCAAGTCTGCTTCACATTGCTCGTTTAAAAGTATGTTAGATGTTGACCGAGGTCGAGTGTATGAAAGTTGGCAAAGTGCGTTTTTCTTAATTGTTGTGATGGCACTGACAGCAGTTTAGCTCACTTGGCTAGCTGCGGCTGTTACCCTACTGTTCACCTCCAGCATTATGTTAGCCATGACAGCTAACGTTACGATAACGACAGATTCAAACAAGTGGTTCGCTGGAAATATGAAGTTATATTGTACCAGTAATTTATTCTAATAAACACGTAATTCTGATTGGGAGTTATTAAAGTTACATTGTAAACACATAATTTACGGACGCTTTATTTACTCACAGAAAAATAAGACAACTTTTATAAACTGGAGCTTTAACGTTAGCTTAGCTAAGTTAGCTACTAGCTCCGCTCACAGTAGCGACTCGGTTGTGATTCTGCAGCAGTTGACACTGAATTAACTTTAACCAAACAGCGATGTGTGGTATGTTTTTAAAACTCTAATGGGTTCACCGCACTGCTCACTGGAAGATTTTGGACAGTAAACTCCCAGCCCCATCTATCACTTTTTTCAAAGTAGCTGAAGTTGTACAACTGCGGCCCGCACGATGTCCGGCTCCCCGGGCACAGGTGGCTCAAACCCCAGGAAGTTCAGCGAGAAGATAGCCCTGCACAACCAGAAGCAAGCAGAGGAGACGCGGGCCTTTGAGCAGCTCATGACAGACCTCACTGTTTCACGGGTAAATACACTTACTGTTCAGCTAATTGTGGCCCTTTTTTGTACGAATGCGTTCATTGTGTTTAAGGACAAAGCTGTATTCTTTCACTCAGCCTGGGCTGGAGTGAGTCTGATGGACTTCCTCTGCTCACTCAAATGTCTGGTATTCAACCAGTACTTCTTGTTTACAACCATTCAACCAGAGGTTGAAGAAGTACTCAGATATTGTACTTAAGTAAAAGTAGAAGTACTACAGTGTAGGAATATTCTGTTAAAAGTCTTATAACTAATTGCAAAAACATGTTACTCAAGTAAAAAAGTATATATAGTGGAGTAAAAGTACAAGATTTCACTTTGAATTGTAGTCTGGTAGAAGTAGCAAAAAGTCCCTCAAAGTTGTACTTAACTAGTAGTACTTCAGTAAATGTACTTGTTACTTTTACACCACTCCATTCAACAAGGGTGAACCCTATGTGCTGCAAATATATAGATGGTCAATGTAATAAAAATGACTGCAGTACCCAAACTAAAACTAAAAAATAAATAGGAACAGCATACAAAATCCAATATTTAACATAAACAGTGCCAGACCTGTTTTTAAAAAATTGCAACAGTATAACAGGACATTGAGAAAATAGCTCTTCTTAATCTGCACCACCCGTCTAAAGCCCCTCTCTTTATGAATACCCAAAGGAAGCACTGTTGCCTGTAAATATACAGTATGCATGTATTCAGACTGCTGTGTCTGCACTTTGTTATTCCATTATTTGTAATGAATTCCCGAGGTAAAACCTCATGTGCCTCCTCTGCATAGAGTTAGTGTGGGATGATGAGGATGGCACATCATTTGGACATACTGTATCATTCATATTTACATTTACATCTATTAGCTAATGCTCTCATTCATTTGCTGTGCAGATGCTCAGGTGTCCATAATGTATACTTACGACTTATGGTATTTCTAGAACCTTGATGAGGTCTCAAAACAGCCAATGTGAGATGATTTGTATGTCATGTTTAGATGCTGTGCTGTACCATCACCAGGTCAAAACTCAAAGAGATTGTAGTTCAAATGATATAAAAAATACCAAATCGTCCCATTAAATAGGTTGGAACCAGGTGGGAGTCTATTTTTCAACTATGGCTTTATCTATTTGTACTATTTAGAAAATGATCTGGTAACTATTTACTGCTTTTCTATGTCATAGATATTGTGTTTCTGGCACTTCGAACTTGTGATGTTTAATGGAAAGAATAAATTGTTATCGTATAGAAATAATCATTGGTTTCACGTTCAGCTAATGGCTCATCCGCCAACTTGTTTTTTGTGGTTTCCAAAGGAGATGGTGAGACTTGATAAGGAAGATTAATGTTGATGCCTGCCAACAGTTTGAGATTCATGTTTGGTGTTTACTTCTTAAAGACTTTGGGTCACCAGTCATTCAAGACACTTTTTCAGATCTCCAGTTGTCATTTACAAAGGGAAATAAATATTTGTGGCTTTTATCTGTAATTGAAGCAGCTCACTGTATTTCACATTGGTCAACGTGCTTTTTAAAAGGAGCTGTTATTTTTGTGATATATTTCTTTCTGTATATCTCATGATAATTCGAAGCATATACTCTACACATTCCAAGTAATAAAAAAAGTGCACTCTGGGAGGATATAAAGATGCTTTTCACATTATACTCGTGCCATTGGTTCACAATGTGCTCATTCTATGAGTGGGAGACTCCTGCATGGCCAGTCAAAGAGGATGTGGTTTTGAATGAAGTATGCCATAAGGTATGAACTGTAAGTGACCCTGCGAGACAGAAAAGTCCAGTCAGCGAGGCTGAGGCAAACAGTTGGAATTAGAAGTCGCTGCTTCAACATCTACCCCAGTTACCAAAGGACTGAATATAACTCCCTCCGAGGGGCTCATAGAAGCGGTACCCACACAGACCCCAGCCTTCTCTCAGCTGCTGGCGTCCCTGTGAACCATAAGTGTGTAAAGTCTGCACGTCTGCCGTTATGTAATCCCTAACGCCAACACTGGTGTAAGAGGTTTAAATGCGGATTTGGTTTAAAAAATAAATAAAAAGTCATATTTTGGTGATTTGACCTAGATTGAAAATTAAATGTCACTGGTGTTACGCCAAAAGTAATCACAATATTATCAGAAGTATGTTTGTCATGTGTCACGGCAGCAGGAGGAGTTATCTGACACACCTGCTACTGTCAAAATGTAATTCACATTTTTGGTCCCTGTGACATTTTTGTATTTGATGTAGGGCTGCACGATTTTGGGAAAAAATCTAATTGCGATTTTTCTGACAAATATTGCGATTGCGATTCGAATAGCGATATTTGTTTTTAAGCGACCCAACGAAAGTTTATTGTAAAATGCGGCCATATCTCCGTCTAGGAAGGTCGTATCAACGTACTCCCGTCTCTAGCACCCCCGCAGCCCGAGCTACGAGTGAAAGAACTAAACTTACATGAAACTTCCGTTGGGTTGCTTTAAAGTCAAGCTTCAGTTTAAGATTCACCCTGTCATATATGTAAAACATGTGATGGAGCATTACTAACCTGACTCAGATGGTTTGTTTCACCAAACCATCTAATGCCCCAGCCACACGAGGACGAAAACGGTCGTTTGCGTTACTGTTTAGTGTCATATAGACCGTTCGGCCACACGAAGACGACCGAATACGGCACTAAACGACTGCGGAAACGATAACGGGTCCCAAGGTGGATAGAACGGCATACGCAACGCTCTGGGGGGTCCAACGGCTCCGTGTGTACGATCATTTTCTGATAATGATGAGGCAATAGCCCCGCCTCTCCCCACCTCTGCTGCTCACCCCCGCGTTAAAGTAAACTGCACTGAATTCAGATTATTTATCTTTCTCTCGATATGGACATAAACGCGAGTGAAGTCTAATCTGACAGGACGGAGACACCTCTCAAACTACCTAAACTAGTTATAAATATATTTATTGTTACTGTCGGCCGTGTCACTCATTACTGGATCAGCTGCTGCATGAAACAGACACTGGCGCTGTCCAAAGAGAGGGAGGAAAAAGAGAGGCTCCGTGTATTTTATTATTATATTATATAGAGTCGTTATTCATTTGTTTTAAAGCTCAACAAAGAAGACCTTTGACCGGCACTTTTATAATTTTGTCGGAAGATTTAAACTTTAATACACGTTGACTGGCGAAAAACTCAGCCCGGTTCCCTCGGCCCCCACCGTGGAGAATAAACAGAAGGGCAACCATGACAACCATGCTTCTTCGCTGCTTTTGTGGAGGAAGTTACAGCGCCACGTACAGGCTCCTGCATATGTACTGCAGCTTCTCCAGCGGTTGGAGCTAAACGGAGCTGTCTCGTGTGAACAGACACTATCCGGGTGACTATTGCGTGTGGACGGAAGCTTTTTTGCGTTTGCGTTAATCCTATGCGTTTAGCCGTTTTCGTCCTCGTGTGGCCGGGGCATTAAGCTCCATTGGAAGCCATTTGGAAAGGGCAGGCACTTTCAAAAGCACTTGGCAGGTGATTGGATAAATCTGTCTATCACCTTCTATCATGGGCCACTTCTGATTGATTAACAATGGCTGGTACATGTGGAGCACAGCACTTCTGATTGGTGTGGATGACTGACACACAAGAAAAAAGAAAAAAAATCGCAAACTTTGCGATTTGATAATCGCATCATTTAAAATCGCGATTTCGATTTAAAATCGATTAATCGTTCAGCCCTAATTTGATGGTTTGAAATGTGCCTCCTCTAAAGCAGTGGTTAGGTTTGGAAAAAGCTTTCAAGGTCGAAGTATTTTCTCAGAATCAAAGATGCTGTGTCTTGGTTTGTAAGGCAAAGTGCAGAGAGAAGGGAAGGTACCCACGGCATGACTGGCAGTATTGTTGTTCCTTCTGTTGAGGCAAGAAACTATTGTAAATGTTGTATACTAGGGCAGGGGTCGACAACCCGCGGCCCTCTGCTCTGGCTCCCTTGAGCTTAGACAAAAATAAGAAGGAAATAAAATAAAAGTATTTGTAGGACTATTTACATTTTGTTGCACGGTTGAAAATGTTTCATATCTTGTATTTTGAGGTGATACTGTGACACATAAATAAAAAACAAAACTGTTTTAATTAGGTCAACTAAAATATGCGTCACATCCTGCTACCGTCCCGCACCAGCGCCTTTTCTTGCAGGTGAATAACCTGGCCCCCGGTTCGATGAGCGAACTATGGATACATCAAAGAAAAGAAAAGTATCGGAGGAACACAGGGTTTAATTCTGCGTGGACAGAGTTATATGCTTTCACAGCAAACAATGCTGGTTTACCGGTATGTTTGATATGTAGAGAGAAGTTGTCAAAGGTGCTGCAGCCTTTACATATTGGAGGGAAAAACCGGAAGAGGAAGACAGCTGACGATCTTCAGTCATAATTCAATCAATTAACTCTTTTTAGGGTGCAGCTATGTTTTATTTTTTTCCTTCAAATGTGCAGAGGACTACCCAAGTGCTGTGTTTAATTTATTTTAAAGTAGGCCTGTGTGTTTTCTTTTATTCTCCTTATAAGAGTTCTTTGTTTCTTATTAGAGGTTAACAGTTTTATATAATGTAATTAATAATAAATGCAAAAAATCTGTAGTCTATGATATAGCAATAAATACAACTTTAAAAGCTATCAATTCATCAAGCTATCAAATATGTTTTGCGGCTCCAGACAAAATAAATTGTTGGCTCTTTTGGTCAAAAAGGTTGCAGACCCCTGCACTAGGGCTTCATGATTTGGAAGAAATAACTAATTGCAATTGTTTTGACTGATATTGCGAGAGGATTTGAAATATTAGAGAAAATTACCATTTCTTTTAAACTTAAGTCACATTATCACTACAAAATAAAATAAAACCACAAACATGATGTGATGTTTTTAACAGGATCTGTACCAAACAAGTATTTGTATTAAGTCTGTAGAATACCGTTTGTAGGACGGGACTTCTCTTCACGCTCACGATACTACCACTGCT